AGCTCTTTGTTATCAGCTATGAGGTTTTACAAGGACACCGCATGTGAATTTAGACCAAGGAGAGATAAAATACAAAAAAAAAAAAAAAAAAAAAAGGTTTTATAGTAGAGGTAAAGGCTGGAATGGAAGAAATAACAACAACAAAATCTGTTGCCTTCTCATAACATTAGGGTTTTAAAAAAAATATATTGTCTTTATTCTAACTTACTTAAAGGCCTGGACCTGAGAAATGCAAAATGAGCTGAACAAAACATTCATGAGTAATGCTCCATGCATATTATTTTAAAACAGAGATGCAAATGGCTGAAGGTATGAATCAGAGTTTTTAATCGTTTCTTTTGTAAGTACCCACCTACTGTAAAATAGAGAAGGACACAGATAGTCATATCTGTTTATATTCCATTTAATTTCCTATACAGAGTACACATAACAATAAGATATAAAAAGATATCTTTCATTACAAATTAGTTGCATTCACAGCCTTTACATTGCTCAAAAGCAAGCATAAAAAGTCTACTATTTCTCTTGGTTTCTGCTTTTACCTGCTGTGGCTTGGCACTTGGAGAAGATCAGTTTTGCATGGAGAAATGCATAAGTAAATGTTGGGGGGATTCAAATCAGTTGCATCAGAGCCAAAAAAATAAAAATTAAAAATGAAAGCCAGAAACAGCAATAGTTCAGTAAATAAATAAATGTGATATAAGTTTGAAGGAGATGTGAAAGCAATCCTAATCAGCTAATGATGCAAAAGTAGCAGGAAGTGAAATAATTTTATCTGTTGTCAAACAGTAGCTGAATGTGGATATTTCATTTCCCCCATGCCTTCTACTGATCAGCCACTAGGATATTTTTTATCTCTCTAAAATTTGTGGTGAAAGCAAACTCTTCCAAGTTGCATCTTAAAGCAGTACTTCTATTAAAATTAACTATTTAATCTATGGAGAAGGAAGTTATGATGTTCTGGGGGGAATAACTTTGTTTGATCTCTCCACTTTTTCGGAATTGTCAAAATGTTTTTGCTGAGTAAGTGGATGAACTAATTTGAAGGGAGGGGATTGTGAAAACCATTTCATTTTTTGTTTGAGGAGTCAGTCTAATTGAATGTAAATTGAATTTAACTTCTCATTAAACCTGCATCAATTGCAGGAACATTTTCCAAGTGCATTTTTTTCTGGTTATATTTTCAAAATTCATTATATCACATACTACATAATCTGGGACCTAGTGGCTCCTTGTTTGAGAGATGCTTCCTTAACCAGATTTCTCAGTGCTTTTACAACAAGAGCAGAGCTTCTAAAGTACTCGAAAAGTTCTGAAAAATCCAGAGAGGTAGCTGTCTTGAAAGTAGCTCATGCTGAACTATATAGCACAAACATCAAAAACTGACAACTGGAAATGTTTTAATGCATATTTTGCATTATTTCATCAAAAGTTTTATGATGTTTTATGAACAATTTCAGGTCCAAAAATGTCACTTAAAATTGGCCAAATTTCAATGACAGATAATCCTCGACTTAGAACAGTCCACTTAGTGTCCATTCAAAGTTACAACGGCACTGGAAAAAGACTTATGACTGTTTTTCACACTTACGATCATTACAGCATCCCCACGATCACATGATCAAAATTCTGCCGCTTGGCAACCGACTCATATTTATGACAGCCGCCGTATCCCAGAGTCATCTGATCCCCTTTTGCGACCTTCTGAGAAGCAAAATCAATGGCGAAACTAGATTCAATTAATAACTGTGTTGCTAACTTAACCACTGCAGCAATTAACTTAACAACACTGGCAAAAAAAGGTCCTAAAATGGAGCAAAACTCACTTAACAAATGTCTCACTTAGCAACAGATATTTTGGGCTCAATTATGGTCGTAATTCGAGGACTATCTGTACATCGGAATCCTGGATCCCAGATTTTGGATGCATTCTGGAAGTCAGCCCATTTGAGATCCCTTGGTTGAAAAAGTTTCGCTCTAGGATTCCTTGTTTTGCAGTTTAGACATTGCAGACCCAAGAGTTTTAGCAGCATGTAGATGATACTATAAATGTGCGTGGACGAATGCAGGTGTGGGAATATATTCATCAGATTAATTTTATAGCGCAATTCGCTTTTCTTCCCAGATGACTAGGAAGCTCTTATTTAAAATACTAATCATATTCAAATAGTATGTAAAATTTATATATGCATTATGTTCAATATAAAATACGTTTTATGTAAAACATGAACAATCAAATAGTAACACATGCAGCAACGATGTATCCCATAGCTTTTAGAATGTTTATTTTAGGTACATACATATTAGTTTGGTAATAGTTTTCAGTGCCTGCACTGTGATCTTAAACACTTCAACTATGGTTAGAAAAATCTATCCCATTTGATTATTCTATTTTAAACCACCTTCTTTTATCCTATCCTATCCTATCCTATCCTATCCTATCCTATCCTATCCTATCCTATCCTATCCTATCCTAATTCTATCTATAAAAATGGCTCTGTGTGTGTGTGTGTGTGTGTGTGTGTGTGTGTGTATGTTCCAGCATAACTCTGGAATGCCTCAAGCAATTTCAACCAAACGTGATACACAGATGACTTACTCTCTGGAAACAAATACTGTGGAGTAAGACACCCCTAACACCCCTCAGGGTGTGTGTTCTGTTAGGATACAGCCTGTTGTGCCTTAAAATGACTTCTGCTGTACTGCCGTAAAATGGCTTCTACTGTAAAGCACAGTGGAGTTGCCATGTAACAGCTTCACAGTACTCCACAAGGGTAAGGGAGAAAATCCAACATTAGAAATTACGTTTGATCCAGACATTTCCCCCCCCCCCCTATAAATAAATATCCAGGCAACCCCAGGTTATTGGCTAGTTTAGAATAATTTCCAAACAAAGGGCTGTAATTGCATTCTACCACATCAGCTGTGATTTACAGATTCTGCCCTCCCCCTCAGATGCTTCAGTTGACACTTATCAGAGGGAACAGAGAGGGACTTTAGAGAGATTTATGAATTCATAAAAATTAAAATGATGAGCTTATAGTCTCCTTTGTATAAAGGTTAAACTAATAACAGTGATCCAGTTCAATGTGTTTCTCAGCTGAATGAATTTACAATTATGCACTCCAAGCAATTTGTAAATACGCATAGTCCTTGATTTATGATAGCTGAGCACAAATTTTCTGTTGTTACGTGAGACATTTCTAAAAGTGAGGTTTTCCTCCTTTTACGACCTTTCTTGCCACAGTTGTTAAGTGAATCACTGCAGCTGATAAATTATCAACCCGGTTGTTAAGTGAAACTGGCTTCCCCATTGACTTCGCTTGTCAGGAGGTCGCAAAAGGAGATCACAGACCCCTGGGGCACTGCAACCGTCATAAATATGAGTCAGTTGCCAAGCATCTGAATTTTGATCCCATGACCACGGGGATGCTACAACGGTAGTGAAGTGTGAAAACTGGTCATAAGTCCCTTTTTCAGTGCCGTCATAACTTTGAATGATCACTAAACAAATTGTCATAAGTCGAGGACTACCTGTATATCATTTAGTAAGAATTAATAAAAGCCAAAGCAATCGTATTTGCGTAAGCCCTGCTGATCGTTTTTAAAATAGACAGAATTTAACGGTCAGTCTGTTCTCCCTTCCTAGAATTTCAATTATCATTCTAAAAAAAGATACCAAGAAATGCACAATTCTTACGTTTATCCCACTTCCTATTTATGTGTAATCATCAGCCCATCAGCAAAAGGTAAAAAGCAAGTTAACTATAAGCCAAGGGGAAAACAAATTGAACAGTCATTGCCAGAAGGCATTTACTTCTCAATTCATATGTCTTTAAATGGCATGACTGGTCAAAACGTATGATGAGATCACTGCTGCCTTTCAAATGCATATTAGCGATTCTTTTAAAGTTTTCAATTCAAATGTTTCAATATTACATACTTTAAAAGTCAAAATAAAAACAAACACAATGCATTGCACTAAAGTTTTTGCATATCATTATCTTCTATATATATAAAAATGGCTGTGTGTGTGTGTGTGTGTGTGTGTGTGTGTNACACACACACACACACACACACACAAACACCTGAGACTGCTTTGCTATTGGCTTTTAAAATATCAGAAAGCACTTATTTCTCAAACTGATTTTAGCCTTTGAAAGCTAAATACAAAATAATATACAATCTCACTTGGCTGATATTTCTTGCTCCAACACCACAATCTGTTCATGTGTCATGTTTTCCAATCATACAGAAATCTAGATAGTGTTTGCCTTAAACTGTAGAACTGTACTCCAGTTTTTTACCATCATACAATGTGATGAGTCATTTTCAGCTTTACATACATGTAGCACTAAAGTCACAACAAATAATTCATTTTGGGGAGAAAATGCATTACTATTCCTGGAAAGCATTTTGCTATATAAATTCCCCTTTTCTCAGCTTATATTTATTATGTTCATTAGCATTTATTCTGTCACAGAAACCAAATATTATCGCTGTAAGCTGTTCAGGCACACCTTCTGTCATCCATTGATCATCTTTTACTATGACCCACTTAAAGAAAAATAGAAACCAGAAAGAATGGCTCCATTGCTAGACATACTGCTGAGCCCAACATGAGGATGTTCTGAAATATTAATGAAATACTACTATGATAACTACATCCTTGAATCAATCAACAGCAATAATTATATTTTATCAGCTGATAAGTTTTTAAAAGGCAAAAACAGAACCACTGGGAATATATATATATTTGGGTTCAAAAACCGAACGACACAGGATCAAACAATATAAAGTACATCCAAACCTACTAATAGGTTGTGCCTTATTTACAAGATATTCACAGATAATGCTCCAATTGTCCAAACATCATATTAATACAGGAGAAACAGAATTAGCATATCTAAGATAGTAAAGATATATTCAGTATATGGAGCTTTTCCCTACTGCACTAGGAAACTGAAAAATACTTTCAAACATTATACAAATATACCTACTTCTCACTAATTAGATACCTGAACAGCAATTTGTCTCACATCTCTGTTGTCTGATGTACAGGAAATGCAAAGAACACCACTTGCCCAATTCAGTGATGATTAAAATAGATTAAAATGATCACTATCAACATAAAACAGACAAGGATGGATATGCCTCAGAGAAAATCCTTGCCAGTATTAAATTTAAAACATAAATAAGTTTTAGCTAGCTGTGCACAAGAAACAAGTGTGCCTTTTGTCAGTAGCTGTGGGGAATGCAATTTCCTTGTTTACTTAGAGAAATTGTAGAAGACATTTCGGCTCCTTTTGCCATGTATGAGAGAGGCAGCCCTTCTACCTATTTCTGTTTAATTCTTCATGAAAATGGAGAGAGGGGGAAAAAAAGAAAATCAGAATAACCCTGCTGCAGATTTGTACTGAAAAGGGTTAATTCCTGCACCGCAGTCTCTGGCAGTCCCGGCTGCAGAAAAGAAGGGAAGAAAGATGTCGCTTCCCCGGTTTATTTATGATAAATCTAAAACAGTGTAATGGTAAGCAGGGAGTAAGAATCCCGGAGAAAGAACTGAACCCCATTTGTTAACCCAAAACAGGGCTGGTTTCTTTTGGAAGGCAAGCTGGGGGGTGGAGTAGGGAAGAGATTTACACTGCAGTATCTGGCAGCAAACATGGCTGCCTCTGCCCCTTTAAATCTAAGTGGCCCTCCTCTTCCTCCTCCATCACACAAAACTATTATCTAGTCTCTCCACAATTATCCTTTTCCGAGAGAGCCAGAGATGCTCCCCCCACCCCACCCCGAAGAGAATATTTTAAATTCTAAGTTCAACACCTCCCCCCCCCCATGTTTGTGCATATTGATATCTGTAGAACACTGCAAGCACACATACACAAAAGGCTGTTTCATTACCAGGTCAGCCTAAGACTTCCCAACTCCAAGAATGTCGCTGTCTCATGACTCTTCTTCATGCCTTCCCACGCAAAATGTCACGCAAGAGCAATTAACACCGGGCTGTGTAATCCATTCAAAATCCACAGTTCAGACTTCACACCTCTTCAGCACAGATTCTCTCTTTCTCTCTCTCTCTCTCTCTCTGCTCTCACACACGCTTCTTCTATGATGGTTACCAATGTACAGATCACACAACATCACAGATTCCTTCGTAATGTCACTCATTCCACTACACACACACACACTTTTCCATAAGCGATCTCTTTCATTCCTTAAACTATCAGGGTTGAAGTTTAAAATAGATAAACCATTTAAAATGATTTCAGCAGCCCTGCTTTGAATCATGTTCATATGCTGACTATAACTCTCCACTGCTAATTGATCCGAATCTGATGGCTCACTTGATTTTTTTGACAAGAAGTCTTCAGAGGCTGGGTGGTTCTCTCAGGAAAGGTTTTTAGTAGATCCTACCCTGTGTTTGGAGTAGATGACTGCTACAGTGACTTCCATCACAATGATCAATGGAGCCTGTGCTTTCCTTCAGAATTCTTAACAATTTCACTTAATCTTACCCAGCATATCCTCTTCAGTTTGAAAAAGTTTGATGCCCATTTCTGCACACTAATCTCTTCCTCTTTATTGTGTCTCATTTCACTATCATATCACTAGTTCTCTAACAGACAGACAGACAGACAGAAATAGATATATATTCCCTATTCCTCTTCCCACCACAACTTAACCAGGAATTAGCAGGGATTGAGCTGTAGTGGAGTAACGTTTAACATTTTAATACCTGAATATTTTAAATTGCTTATTACAGGCGAGTGCTTTTGCTCACCAGCAACCAAACACACCAATGACGGTGCTTCTCAAAATCTTTCTCAAAAAGCCATCCTTCCACCAGAACCACCCAGCTCGCCTTTCTCCCAAATTAATCCTCCAGGATGTGGAGGAGTTCGATTACATCCTCTTCACATTCTAGCACACAACTATTCTTCTGGTCATAATAGGGGCTGCAATTTAATGCATCTGAAAGGCAGCAGGATGGAGGAGGCTGAACCCAAGAAACCCAACTCCAAATTTAAAATCATAATTGATTTCAGGTAATCTACCCTTTCATCCAGTACCCAGGTACGAATGTCATGTTATAGGGATCATCTGTCATGCTTGTGTGTTACCCTGCCTCTAAAAAACTCAAAATATCATAGATCTATTTCTTTCCATTTAATTTTTACACCGTTGCCAAGAAGATAGATTTAGACAAGCTGAGATTGCTAGATAAACAAGAATATTGGAGCTGATGTTTCCCAGGACTCTTGACTTCACATCACCCAGTCCATTACCAAATGTTACTTACTTATTAGGCATTGTTGACATAAATGGATACTTTGAAACACTGTGATTTGCACCAGACAAATTTCTTGTGTGTCCCATCACACTTGGCCAATAATATTCTATTCTATTTCTATTCTATTCCATCTTCTATTATATTCTATCTCCTATTCTATTCTATTCCATCTCCTATTCTATTCTATTCCATCTCCTATTCTATTCTAATGGATACACACTAAAACATTGTATAAATGCAATATAAACACACCACTTATAAATGGTACCTCTAACATAGGATACTTATACAGAGTAGCAAGTTGCACAAGCTTCCTCCTTTTCAGCAACCAAGTTATTATTATTATTTTGTTGCTGTTGAAAAGAAAAGGAAAAGGGGCCAATGCAAAGGGGGGGAAGGGGGGATGGAAGAAAGGGGAGAAAAAGCCCAAATTTCTAAGCCTGGCATCCCTTCCAGATCTGCAATTTCAAAAATTCCAAGAGACACTTGCAACTTATTATATCCAAAGAAAAACACGGGATTTTTTTCCCTTCCAAACTAAGCATCCGTCCAGCACATTGAAACAAGAAGCAATGGGTGGACACTAAACAAGGAGAGAAGCAACCTAGAACTACGGAGAAATTTCCTGACAGTTAGAACAATTAATCAGTGGAACAGCTTGCCTCCAGAAGTTGTGAATGCCCCAACACTGGAAGTCTTTANTTCTTTTAAAGTTTTCAATTCAAATGTTTCAATATTACATACTTTAAAAGTCAAAATAAAAACAAACACAATGCATTGCACTAAAGTTTTTGCATATCATTATCTTCTATATATATAAAAATGGCTGTGTGTGTGTGTGTGTGTGTGTGTGTGTGTGTGTTCAAGCATAACCCTGGAACGCCTCAAGCAATTTTAATGAAACTTGCTACACAGATGATTTACTCTCTGGAAACAAAAACTGGGAGTAATACACCCATGGGGGGGAGGGGTGTTTGGTTAAGATACAGCCTGTTGTGCCTTAAAATGGCTTCTACCGTGCTGCTGTAAAATGGATTCTACTGTACAGCACAGTGGAGTTGCCATGGTAACAGCTTCACAGGACTCCACAAAGGGGAAAAATCCAGCATTAGAAATTATGTTTGGTCCACACATTTTTAACAACATTACGGATTTTCCTGTCTAATAAAGAATTAGGATAAATAAATACCCGGGCAATGCCAGATTATCAGCTAGTACAGTACTAAAAATCACTGTATAGTAGCTAATGAAAAAAATTCAGAAGAAAAATTAGTGTATGATTATAATTAATTACGGCAGATATATTATTAGCCAGGTGCGCGCATTTTCCTGAGCCATGTTTTCAGGGTACCAGAGTGGATTAGAGTGCTTGGGGAGAAAAAGAAGTGAAACTCTCAGTCAGCAGAAGTGTTTTAAGCTAGCATCAGATTCCTAGTAACAGTTTCTCGGTTTCTCCGTTACAAATACCTCGCAACTGCAAACAGCCAACTTGGCTGTGTTTCATTTTGCATATTAGCAGAAGAGCATCACTTTCCCAAGCTTTGATGTGTAATACATCACAGATGATATGAAAGGATTTTCAGAGAGGGGGGGGGGAAATGTTGATTTTTAAAGATCTTAGCCACTGGTTGCTTGATTTTACATGGCAATCAGACTACAGAACACCACCAGTCAACGGATGGAAACTAATGGATGGAATGGAAACAGTGGATGGAAACTAATCAAGGAGAGAAGCAACCTGGAATTAAGGAGAAACTTCTTAAGAGTGAGGACAATCAGTGGAACAACTTGTTTTCAGAAGTTGTGGCTGCTTCTTCATGGGAGGTTTTTAAGAAGAGACTGGACAGTCATTTGTTTGAAATGGTATATAGGGTTTCCTGCTTGAGCAGGGGGCTGGACTAGAAGACCTCCAAGGTCCCTTCCAGCTCTATTTTAACCAGTTTGCATCTCCAGGAAACCTAGAGCAAAAATTTAGGCAAAAACGAAGTGTTAAGAAAGAGCAACGAAACAAACCAGATTTCTTCAAAATCCGTTTGTTCCAGGACTTTATTGGAAATTTCTTTCTTAACAGCACAATTTCAGATCGTAGGGAACTACTGCATGGATATCTAGTCAGATGTTGTTTTACAACATTGCTTCCTTTTTTGAACCCACTGTTGTTTATTTATTAAAAAGTAAAGGTTCCCCTCGCACAGATGTGCTAGTTGTTCCCGACTCTAGGGGGTGGTGCTCATCTCCATTTCAAAGCTGAAGAGCCAGCACTGTCCAAAGACATATCTGTGGTCATGTGGCTGGCATGACTCAACACCTAAGGCGCACAGAACGCTGTTACCTTCCCACCAAATGTGGTTCCTATTTTTCAACTTGCATTTTTATATGCTTTCAAACTGCTAGGTTGGCAGAAGCTGGGACAAGTAAGAGGAGCTCACTCCATTATGCAGTGCTAGGGATTCGAACCGCTGAAATGCCAACCTTCTGGTCGACAAGCTACTGAGCCACCAAGTTCCTTCTTGTTTGTTTATTGGCCATATTTAAAAAGACATGTACACTTTTGGGGTACACTTACATGAAGTATTCTCCTAGAAACATTCAACCATAATCTAAAAATATGAAAAGACCTTTCCAGCAAAGGTGCTAACTCTTTCCAAGATAGCAGAATAGAATAGAATAGGAATAGAAAAGAAAATATAGAATAGAATAAAAACAGAACAGAACAGAAATAGAATAGAAATATAGAATAGAAATAAAAATAGGAGTAGAAGAATAAAATAGAATAGAATAGAATAGAACAGAATAATTTACTGGCCAAGTGTGATTGGACACACAAGGAATTTGTCTTTGGTGCAGATGCTCTCAGGTAGATAAAAAGAAAAGATGCATTTATCAAGAACCATAAGATACAACACTTAATGATAGTCATAGGGTGCAAATAAGCAATCAGGAAACAATCAATATCAGTATAAATCGTAAGGATACAAGCCAACAAAGTTACCATCCTGCAATCATAAGTAAGAGGAGATGGGTGATAGGAATGATGAGACTAATAGTAATAGTAATGCAGCCTTAGCGAATAGTTTGACAGTGTTGAGGGAATTATTTGTTTAGCAGAGTGATGGCATTTGGGAAAAAAACTGTCCTTGTGTCTAGTTGTCTTGGTGTGCCTTTGTCTTATTTTATATTTTATAGTTGTCTTATTTTATTCTCATCTCGATTCCTTGCCATACATATTGAGGCAAATGTATGAATTTCCTTTCAAGATTCTCTCCAGCTTTTATGTAACAAAGATAAAGTTAGTCCTTGACCTATGACCACAAGGGAGCCCAGAATTATGACAAATCTGTTAAGTG